GGTGTGCTGCTGAGGAGAACTGCCTGGCCAGGTAGGTAGTTATGGCTGTGTTTTTCCTTGCCCCCCCAGAGTGGTGCTTTTGCAGCTCCCAGCCACAGAAGGAGAGCAGGCCCTCTCCTTAGCTTGCCTGGCTGCTCTAACCTTGGTGAGAGGCAGACAAGGAAGATCTACAGCACAAGATTTTATGAAGTTATATAAGTGCTTTTGGATGTCTTCAGACTAGGGAGCCAAACTCCTTTGAGGGGTCTTGCCAAGGCCTGCTTTTCAGAAGGGGGAGGAGAGCCTGCTAAAAAACAGGCTTCTTAAAGGAGCATAACTGAACTGCCCCCCAAAATGACTCATCACTCATGAAAATCCTTGTCTATAGTTTTTGTTGGAATCTGTTCCCTTTCAGCTCTCCTTCTGCTCCTCCCCAGTTTTAATAACCAGCGATCCTGTTGCATTTCTTTTAGAAATGCTGCTTTGTAATCAATGTAAGCAATTCAAAATTATATGGTGCAACCCCTGTAAGGTTTAAACCCATTTAAAAGATGGTTGCAACAACTCTCAAACTTGAAACAAAACCATTGCTATCAAGTTTATCCCAGTCCACTTGGCAAAGAAGGATTTTTCCTGTTTTGATTGGAACTGAAATGAAGGCTGTTTCTAACAACTTATGTAGTGCCTTATCATGCAAAACAGCTTTGTTTATTCACCAGCATCATAAATTTGTGTCAGCTGAGTTTTGGAAAGATTTCCATGCAGCGGATAAATAATTTAGTGTTTCGTTGGTTAAGGGGGCCTTACAGTAACAGTTATCTGAAAAGCATTTTATTGATCTTCAGTTCATAATTGTTTTAAGACAGCCCAGGCCCTAGGTATAAATGTGTCCTTTTAAACTATACTAGAAACAAAATATATTGTGGCTGTGACAATAAGATATTTTGGTTTATAGCATTTATGACATATAAAAAGCCATTTATACAGTCATTTGCTACTTAGCAGTGCCAAATCTTGACACCACAAGTTAAATACCACTAGTTTCCCTGAGTATCAACTGATTTCAAAATTTTGTTTACCAAGGTCAAAATCTGCTGAACTTGGTGGCAAAATCTGCCATTAATATCAATACAAGCAGCAGTGAGTTATTACTATTACGGTGCTATTACAGCATGGATCTAATACCAATGGCTTATGACCATTTCACCTGGGATTTTTAGTTAATTTTCAGTAGTTATGATACTAGAGTATCATTAAAATCATCAATGTCAGTTTATAGCAAGACCTACTTAAGAAACGTTTAAAAGTTTCTCTTTGGTATTTTCTAAACACACGTATGCCTCTTTTGCATCCTTACAGTTCAGCTTACAGGTCAGATGTCAGAGACTATGATAATCGAGTGCTTCTGAGATTTCCTCAAAGAGTGAAAAATCAAGGCACATCAGACTTTCTACCAAGCAGACCCCGATATTCATGGGAGTGGCACAGCTGTCACCAGTGAGTGAAGTGCCCAGTATGGTACCTTTCTGATTATTTTTTTCCTCATTACCTGGTTTTTGTAATGTGGTGTGTTCTGCTACTCTCTGGTGGGGAAAGGAAGACTTCAGGATTTCACTAGTCCCTCCCATTTTATGGTTCTAGTTCATCATATAGCTATTTGTGTAAGGATGGAGAATCAAATTAAAATAAATGGCATTAACTCACCTGTAAATACAGAAGTCTAGAAGCAAATAAGTTTAGATATAAAGGCATATTCATTCATCTCCTTTGCTAAATTAGTAGATAATTAGTAGAAGTAGAATTAATTTAAAAACTTATTAAAATTACTATTCATTCCACTAAATGTAAGCTTAGTCACACACACACACACACACACACACACACACACACACACACACACACACACACACACACACACACACA